TCTTCTCTCTGTACACCAACAGCTGCACCTCCAGCCACCAGTCCGTCAAGCTCCTGAAGTTCGCGGATGACACCACCCTCATTGGTCTAATCTCTGGTGGGGACGAGTCCGCCTACAGGTGGGAGTCTGACCATCTGGTGTCGTGGTGCAGCCAGAACAACCTGGAGCTCAACGCTCTAAAGACAGTGGAGATGGTTGTGGATTTCCGGCGGAACAGAGCCCCACCCTCCCCCATCACCCTGTGTGACTCCCCCGTCACTATTGTGCATTCCTTCTGTTTCCTGGGCTCCATCATCACCCAGGACCTCAAGTGGGAGCTGAACATCAGCTCCATCACCAAGAAGGCTCAGCAGAGGTTGTTCTTTCTGAGGCAGCTGAAGAAACTCAACCTGCCAAAGACGATGATGGTCCACTTCTACACGGCCATCATCGAGTCCATCCTCTGCTCCTCCATCACCGTCTGGTACGCTGCAGCCACAGCCAAGGACAAGGGCAGGCTGCAGCGTGTCATCCGCTCTGCAGAGAGGCTGATCGGCTGCAATCTGCCGTCCCTGCAGGACTTGTTCGCTTCCAGGTCTCTGAAGCGAGCTAAAAAGATTGCGGCCGACCCCTCCCCCCACCCCGGACGAAAACTGTTTGTGCCCCTTCCATCTGGCAGGAGGCTGAGGTCCATCAGGACTAAGACCTCCCGCCACACAAACAGTTTCTTCCCGTTGGCAGTCGGGCTCATCAACAGAGCCGGTCCCCCACTGACTGACTATAACATTCCACCGGTCACTCCCCCTCATACTGCACATGCCTCTTTAACTGCAATTCATCACTTTGTCACTTGTCACTTTGTCTCTTGTCTGTTACTTGTTTGTTGCACTTTATGCTTAATATTTTTCTTTTTTACTTTTTAATATTAAAATTTTTTTTTTAACTTTATTCTCTTGTTTTATACTAACCCATAGCCTTATTCTACTAACCCATTGCATTAGCATTTCATTCCACTTTATTTTATTACTTGTGCACTGTTGTCTTGTCTGTCTACTGTCGCGCACTAATCGCCAAGACAAATTCCTTGTATGTTTGACATATTTTGGCTAATAAATGTTTCCTGATTCCTGAGTTGGAATCCCTGAAGAGATTCTGACTGACCAGGACACCTCGTTCATGTCGCGCACACCGAGAGCACTTTACGGGTTACTGGGCATTAAGTCCGTTCGTATCATGGGTGTGCGTGTATCACCCGCAGACGGATGGGCTGGTGGAGCGTATGAATAAGACTTCGATGTCCATGATCCGTAAATTGATTAGCGAAGATGAACGTAATTAGGACCACTGGCTTGACCCTCTGTTGTTCGCAGTGCGGGAGGTCCCCCCCAGCGACGATTCACACCGGGAGAAAAGGTACTTGTATTGGTTCCTTCTTCAAACTCTAAACTAGCAAAGTGGCAACGGCCCTTTGACGTCACACGGCAGGTGGGGGACGTTGACTACGAGGTGGTGCGGTCTGACAGAGGCGGAAATACACAGATATACCACCTGAACCTCCTGAAAGCCTGGAGGGGGGTGGAGTCTGTCTCTCTGGTCTCGAGGAGACAGAGGAGCTGGGGCCGGATGTTCCAAAAGCAGGTAATCATACCTCGCTCCCTCGAGAGGCTCATCTCTCCGAGAGCCTCCTGAGGGAGAGGGCGGACGTTGCCAGGTTGCAGGAGCGTTTTGCTAATGTGTTCTCTCCCTTGCCAGGCCGGACCGACCTCATAGTGCACAGTATCGAGAAGGCCCCGGGCGTGACGGTGAGGTCACGACCCTACAGGTTGCCCGAACACAAGAAAGGAGTGGTTCGGAGGGAATAGAAGAGTCCAACATTGCCTGGTGCAGTCCCATCGTCCTTGTGGCTAAGAAGGATGGATCTGTACGGTTCTGCGTGGACTATCGCAGGGTGAATGACGTGTCACGGTTCCATGCCTACCCAATGCCCCGGGTCGACGAACTCCTGGACCGGCTAGGCACTGCACGTTTCTTCACAACACTGGATTTAACCAAGGGCTACTGGCAGATTCCTCTGTCGCCAGAGTCCAAGGAGAAAACGGCATTCTCCACCCCATACGGTTTGTACCAATTTACCACACTCCTCTTGTTTGGGGCCCCGGCCACGTTTCAGCACCTCATAGATCGGGTGCTGCGTCCGCAATCTGCAAATGCTGCCGCCTACCTGGACAACGTTATTATCCACAGCACCACCTGGGCGGAACATGTGCGGCAGGTGGGCGCGGTGCTGGAGGCGCTGGGACGGGCAGGGCTCACCGCCAACCCGGGGAAGTGTGCAATTGGACGGGTGGAGGTACGGTATTTGGGATACCACATGGGGGGCGGGCAGGTGCGCCCTCAGGTGGACAAGACGGCAGCTATCGCGGCCTGCCCGCGGCCTGCCCGCGGCCCAAGACAAAAAAAGAGGTGAGGCGGTTCTTGGGGCTGGCGGGGTATTACAGGCGGTTCATCCCCGGCTTCGCGGACCTCACAGCCCCTTGACCGACCTGACCCGGAAAGGTGCGTCAGATCTGGTCCAGTGTTTGGAGCAGTGCCAGCAGGCGTTTGAGACGGTGAAGCAGGCTCTCTGTGGGGACCACTCCTTCATACTCCTAACTTCTTTGTCCCATTTATTCTGCAGAACTGTACGCACCCTTTGTACATGAGGCCTCTGGTCTCTTGGCTGCCCACAGGTGTATTGTTGGAGAAAGTGTCAACAGTCACTCCTATTAGTCGTCTTCTTCTCCACTCCATTTCCAAAAGCTCTGATGATGAAAGACCTGTATTGAAGAGGGTGTCCATCGAACACAGGAATGTTTCTGACACGAAGGACAGAGCATAGATTTTGCTGAGCCAGCAGAGCAGAGATTTCCTTTTGCCTCTGCATAACATTTACTATGTCACTCTGATAGCTCTCAGTAAGACCTTGTACATGAGGTTGCACTAATTGTGCTTGATAACAAAGCAATAACACATTTTTCATCCATTTTAACTGGAGGTTTTGGTATGGGGGTTGAACTGGCTTGCTTTCCTCTAAAGGTAAGTTCATAAACGATGCATGCATTTCATTTGCGTCTTAGCAACACTTGATGAACTTCGTACGCTCAGCATTCACTGACTTGAGATTTTCATTGATGCCATTAACGCAAGTAAGTTCTCAAAGTTCTCCATCCTTGGCTTGTTTATATCTTCTGTTCCTTTCCGCTGATACATTTCGGTGAAGAAGTCCAAGCTTTTAGAAGTAAATTTAGTTTCTCTTTTTTCTGCCATTGTCTCAACGTCGCTTGCCGTTCGTACGTCAGACAACGTTTAACATGCAGGCAGAGTGCAAGAAAAACAGCAAAATGTGGTTATTTTCCGATCAAGTCCATTTCTAACAATAATCCCCATCGTAGCTTCTGAAACTTCAAACATTTCCATCGCTGTGGTTACGACTTTTGAATCCCACTCGTTCAGCCGTTTTAAGTTTATTTTACGCAGCAAGAGAGCAGATTGTCCAAGCAGTCTTTTCCTTTTATTTCGCATTTACTCCAAAACAAACGCATAAAAAACATAACGTTGCTGCCTTTCCTATGCTGTTCACACTGCCCTCCATCTCACCCAGGTGCATATGCCTGGCTGCGCCCTTAAATATCCTCCAGGTGCCCACAGTGTTACACAATTAATGAGTCCAATTACTGTAACCAAATAAGTATACTTTATTCAACTAAATTGACTACAAAAACAGAAAAATCTATCTTAATATTTTAGTACATTGAACCCAAGATGTAAACAATAATATTTAGGAATATATAACTAAATTATAACTGCAAATGAATAGCTCCCACACATACACAGCATCTCGTCTGTATGTATCTGATTATATTAAGTTTGATCTTACTTTATAAGGTTAATAACATGTACTTTGGGTTTATGCGTCCCCTCTTTAGTAAACCGGACCCCTAATGACTCCTTCGTCCTTAAATGATCATGTTACAACATTAACAATGTGGCATATTATATCTGCTCAACAGCTACCAGGAAGAACTGCAGAGAGAATCTACCACACTGCAAAACGTATCAACAGTATAAGTATGTATTTCATGTGTTCTAGTTGACTCTAAATGGACCATCATTTACTAAATGAAAATGCTGTATTGAATAAGACTTCAAACCATAAACTCATGTTTACTGACGGAATAAATCAAGAGAGAAGATGAGTCATTTCCTCATAGACGTCTATGGGAGCAGAGGAGTCGCCCCCTGCTGGTCACTACAGAGAAGTAGAGTCATTTCCTCATAGACGTCTATGGGAGCAGAGGAGTCGCCCCCTGCTGGTCACTACAGAGAAGTAGAGTCATTTCCTCATAGACGTCTATGGGAGCAGAGGAGTCGCCCACTGCTGGTCACTACAGAGAATGCAGGTGTTCAGGCACTTACATCGGTTTCACTCTGCAGAGTTTGCTGCCTGGTTAAAGCAAATTAAAACATGAATCAATTGTCGTGAAGTGTGTTTTGCATGTGCAGTTAACCTGCTTGACTCTGACTAGAAGTAGTAGTACAACTAGTCGTGTGTTAGTAGTACTTGAAGTTGACGTCTTCTGCGTTCTTCTCCTCCTGCAGCTGGACGGAGGAGTCGTCAGTCTGAGCATGGAGGAGATCAAGAGAGTTTACCCCAACGTCAAGTCCCTGGTGGGCAACTCTGTGTATGTGAAGGCCTCCGTGCTCACCAAGTCAGGTTAGTCCTTCACGAGAGGGACAGGAAGTCCTCATTTACATCAATGAAGCCACTGAAACACCGAACGCTGGATTTATTCCCTCAGTGAACATTGTAAACATGAGTTTGGTCTCAGTCTCTCGTTTCAAGTCTTCTTCAACACAGCAGGATGTTCATTTAGTGGATTATGGTCCATTTAGAGTGAAACAGACCATAAATCAGGGGGCGCTTTAGCTACCTGTTAATATCGTGACTGGAGTTTGTTCTCTGAGTTTCAGCCCTTTACCCCGAATATGTTTATTCACCATCAAGTCGTCGTTGCTGAAGTTGTTTAGGTTTTATGTTTCTAGATGTTCAACCCTTCAGCTCTGGTCTCCTCTGCAGGCGGCGACCTGGTTGAAGCTCAGAAGACGGGCATCAAGATCGTGGAGTCTCCGTATGTCCTTTCCTTCAAAGACGTACCCAAGTTCTTCAAGCCGGGCCTGCCCTTTGACCTCACAGTAAGGACCGGCTCCTGTGTCCGCGATCCATCTCCTAGAACTAGATATGTGGTCATGTTTTGTCCAGGAAACCTGTTTGGTTCATTTGAAATCAAAAGCGTGTAAAAAGTACATCATTTCATCCCGTCGCGTCCAGATCGAGGTGAACCACCACGACGGCTCCGCGGCCCGGAACGTTCTGGTCCACTTTGGGCTGCTGAAGGAGCCCATACTCGTCTCCTCGGCAGCAACAGAGTCGCCGTGGACATGCCCGCTGGTGGAGGCCCTCAAACCATCACGGTCAGTGTGACCGCGGACCTTTAGACCAGTGATTCTCAAAAAAAAAAAAAAAAATAAAAAACTCATCCTGTGATTTTATTTTGAAGGGACTTTTTTAATGCAGCGGAGTGTCGGTTTGTTTGCCGGCTCGTCCGTCCATGTTTTCAGCAGCGTGTGCCAGGTTTACTTCATTTATTTTGAATTTGTGCAAAAGCTGCTCCTCATAGTGTTTGTCATCGATCCGTTAAAGTTATTTGAGTCTTTTTTCCACTTTTCGGTTTGTGCACGAAAGCTGTTGAGTTTGTTTGAAATGGCTGAAGAGTCTTAATTGTTTTGTATGTTGTAATACAAAGTGTCCTTAAGATACACTTTGGGATTTTTATCTAATTGACTGTAAAAGGGAATAGTTCCCTCTCCAGCATCGCTACCAGCTGGCTCTTTTGTGTGTTTTGTTGGCAGACGTATTCTGTCTCAGGTAGTATTTGGGTCGCGGCTTGTCATTAAGGGGTGATGCTGGGTCCCGGAGCCAGACCAGTTGAGAACCACTGCTTTAGACTATTAATCATCAGGTTCCACTCAGGATCTGCTCTGGTCCTCCTCTCGCTTTACACCTTCACATCCTTTCACTTTAATATCATTTTTGCAAAGTCCAGATTATGTTTTTCTCCTCAGATTCTATAATTAGAAAAACCTCTTCACAGCGCACATAAAGTTCGTATTGAGCTGAACATCCAAACCCATCACACCAAATCAGAGGAATCCAGCTGTCCTGTGCATTGATTTAGAGATTCAGATGATGGAAAATACAACTAAGTAAACAAGTTACTGAACAATAAAGGCTGATTATCTCGGATCCTCGGTTCTTTCTTCCGTCCCAAACCTCTGCTTCGTTGTTGTGTGTCTCCCAGGCTGAGACCGTGCAGGCTGACCTGAGACCAGAGCAGCAGGCCAAGCACCAGGTCACCGTCCGGCCGTACGCCGCCTTCGACCCGCGCCAACAGAACTACCTGCACATCTCCACGCCGACCAACGCCGCGTCTCTGGGAGACCGACTCCCGCTGAAGCTGACCGTCGCGCCGGCCAACCCGACGCACCGAGCGCTCGTCACGCAGGTCACCTACCTGGTGAGACGCCGCTCCGCCGCTACAACGCCGCAGTGAAACGCGAACAACAACCCGTCGTTCCCCAAACTCCCCCAGGTGCTGAGTAAAGGCAAAATCCTCGTCGGCGAGCGCGCGGATGTGACGGGTCAGCAGGTCACCAGCGTCGGGCTGACGGTCACCCCGGAGATGATGCCGTCGTTCCGTTTCGTGGCGTTCTACGTCATTCCCTGGGAGGGGCGGGAAGAGGTGGTGTCGGACTCCATCTGGGTGGATGTGGCCGATTCCTGCGTTGGAGGGGTGAGCGATCAGCAGCAGGGTGGTGCATTTGTAGTTTGACCGTCTCAGTCTCTTCATCTCAGCTGCACAAATTGCAGATGCAGAGACTCACACACTGAGTTTGCATCACGGTGTTTCTAACACGCGTGTATGAAAATCAACTGATTGTGAAGTATTGTATGTGTGTGTGTGTGTGTACTGTTGTATCTTCCAAAAAGCTACTTGAGCAACAAATGTGGATTAACAAGCCGCTGAAAATAGTCCGAAAAAACTCTGATTCCGAACCACAAACCACCCAGTCAGTCAGGATTAGTTCTCCAGTCTTTAGTCCATTTGACCTGCGCTGCCTTCCAGCTTAAAGTCGGGCCGGCGGACGGCGTTCATCGAGACTACGCGCCCGGGAAGAACTTTAAATTTCAGGTCCGCGGCGATCCGGGGTCAAAGGTCAACCTGGTGGCTGTGGACAACGCTGTGTATCTGCTCAACCGGGACCGACTTACACAGAGGAAGGTGTGTGTGTTTTAGGATGGGACCTTAAGCACTAATTTAAACACTTTTTATTTGACCAATTAAACAGTGTTTTGTTTCACAGAGTTCATATATATTCACATTACATGGTGTTAAAAGTCAATGGGTCATTTTTTTGTCAATCAGTGTTGATGAGGTACACAAGCTGAAGCCTCTCGTCTACTCGTCCTCAGATTTGGGGCGCGGTGGAGCTCGGCGACATGGGCTGCACCCGAGGGGGCGGCAGAGACGCCACATCCGTGTTCTCGGACGCCGGACTGCTCTACGCCTCCAGCGCCGGGGTCAGAACCCAAACCAGACAAGGTAACCCGGTTAAAGCAAAACCCCTCAGGACGTTCAGGGCTCACTCAGCAGTCGCTCACAGGGACTCGTGTTTGCTCAGTGAAGCGTTCTGTCCGTTGTATCAAAGGCTGACGTAATAATAAAAGTCCCCACTGAAACCTGGAGATATTTGAACAACTACTACCAGCGACACGTCTTCTATTGCAAATAAATACAATCAAAAGTAGAAGATAAAACTTTTAATAATCAGTAATTGTTACATTGTCAGATTGGTCGCCGGTCGTTAATTAGATACTTCTTTACATTTCAAAAGGTTTTTCCTTGATAGAGACATGAAATATACAAAAAGGGTCCCATGTTCTTGTCTTCCTCAGTCCTGCAGTGTCCACGCAGCGCCAGAAGGAGGCGCTCTGCCGAACTGTTGCGGCGTAAAGCCCAGCTGGGTGAGCTCAGAGAGCCAATGAAATGCTACCAGTTGTCCAGTTAATGTAAATGTGACGCTTTGGCTCTGTTAAGCTTTCCCCGTCCCCCGTATCCACTTGCCGTCACGACGCCTGACTGACGCCTCCTTCCTCCTGCAGAGGACCATTACAGGGAGCAGCTGCAGCGGCGCTGCTGCCGGGACGGCCTGAGGGAGATCCCCATGCGCTACTCCTGCACCAGGCGCTCCCTCTACATCACCGAGGGCTGGGAGTGCATGAGGGCCTTCCGCTACTGCTGCGCCGCCTTCAGGGACCAGGAGTTTAACACCGAGATTCCCACCACGGTGCCCCCCTGGACCACAGCGCCCCCCACCACCACCACCACCACCACCACCAGCAGGCCCAGACCCACTTATGTAGCCCGTCCTTTTGGGAGAATGGATGTGTCTGTGCGCAGAGGCTTTGGTAATTACTCTATTTCTTATTAGCATTATTATAACGCTAACTTAATGAGTTGTTTGTGTGTGTGCCGACATACTAAAAGCTCATGTATGTGAAATTGAGTCCACCTAGAACGAGAGCGTGTTATGGAGCGAGCTCACTCCCCGGTCCTGGCTGCACGACCTGAAGCTGAACTGCAGTTGACCCATTCAAACGCAAACAAAATGGCAGAAAAAGAGGCGGAAGATGAGGAGGAGGAGGAGGAGGAGGAAGAGTATCTGGACGAGACTCAAGTGTATCTGCGATACAAGTTCTACGAGTCTTGGCTGTGGACGGACGTTCACCTGCCCGACCGAGCCGAGGCAGACGGGTGAGAAAACACTAAAGTTACTTAAACAGCGTTTGATAAATATGTTTATTTTATTTATTACATTCATGAGCAAAACAAACTGACGTGATAGTGTGGCGCCGTTCAAAGTGAATTTGAGAGTCGAAAGAAAGGACAACAAGTGCACGCCGACCCGCGTGGACCTCCAGCATCAGACCTGGAGGCCAGATGAGGTCCTAAGAAAAATTTATTTTAATTTCATTCAAATACTAAAAATTGCATCTTTACCCGAATTGTGAATCGCTTCATGTTTTCTTGAATATTTTTCACATTAATGACAAAACATATTTAGACTTGTTTTTCAAAACGTTTCTCGACGTAACATATTATATCCTGGAATCGTTTTCCAATTTTTTTTAACCTAAAATATCTGAACTTTATTTCAAAATTGACCGAATATAAAAAAAAAAAAAATCCCATGATGTTTTCAATAAGATATATTTTTCGGCCTTGGATCCATCCTGTCTCCTCATTCAGTAAACCTACAATAAGAAGAGGAGATCTTTATGTTCATGTTCATGTGGAGGACCTGAGTGCGACTCGGTTTCAGTATCTGGTTGAACGAGGTCATCGCTCCACTCGGGGTTAACCCACGTGTTGTAACGTGTTGTAACAGTTCACGGTTAAACATCCCCCCCCCGAGAGTCCAAACCCGATAGCGATGCAACGTTATCTGTCTGATAAAAAGCTTCTGGCTCTGCTTCCAAACATCGCACGGTGAACTCCAGCATTGCATCATGTTCTGTTTGGTTAGTTTTTGCCCAGAAGTTAAACCAGCAACACAAGAGGCAGAGAAACACTAAATAAAACAGGAAGAAGCCAAACAGCAGAGCAATGGGTGGGTCGTGTTTAAAAAGTGCCTCATGAAGAAGAAGGAATCTTCATCAGACTCCTGCATCACGAGGACAATCGTTACATCTCCCGCCACGACGGTGCTGATCCATACGAGCAGAAAGAGACTCAAGACGACCACTGAAAAGCACAAAAAAGCAACCGCCCATCCATGCATACAGCCGTGCTCCACCTTCTCTGGTTACACCTTCCTAAAAGCGATGACACACATGTGAATCCCATCAACAGGTTGGCGTGGAAGGACCTGGAGCTCCCTTTACCGGACAGCATCACCGAGTGGGGGCTTCTGGCCGTCAGTGCATCACCTCACACAGGTACACACGGCGCTTGCTGTGGGAATACGAGTCAGGTAGCAAACTGTTGTTCTCATTGGTCTCATGGACGGGTCAGCTGACCTCCATGACCCCGATGAACGGGCTCAGTGTTTTTCGCGAACCCACCGACCGACTTTTGATGTTGTTTGGAAAATGTGTGTCACGTGTTCACTGGAACTAACTCGATGAAAACTGGACTACAAACACTTTGAGATGTCAACAACCGTCACCACCTTTACGTCTGAAAACAGTTCTTTTTGTGTCCAAGTCGCTGAACTTTATATTGTAAAAGAAACATTAATCCAAGGCTCAACAAAGTGACCAGACTTTGCAAAAACATTCCACAAGTTCAATCAATCAATGGATGAAGTAATAAAGTTAAAACGCACTGACATACGTGCAGAAGCCTCATCTCTCTCTCTCTCTCTCTCTCTCTCTCGCTCAGGCTTCTGTGTTGCGGAGCCGTACAACGTGAAAGCGTGGAAGCGTTTCTTCGTGGACCTGAAGCTGCCGCATTCAGTGGCGAGGAACGAACAGGTGGAGATTAAAGCGGTGGTGCACAACTACGGCTACGACGACGTGCATGTAAGAGAATCCCCTCACAGCTCCGTCACCTCCTTCTTATTCATCCAGACAGTAGAGAACATTTAATTCCACATGCGTAGCCTCATTTCATTTGCTACAAGCTGAAACTCTGTTTGGATGCTTTTTAATGCAGCGTTAAAAATACATCTCTTAATCAATGAATTAATTAAACATATATATGAATTTTGTCTACCGCACAGACGGAATATTAGAAGCGGACGTGATCGTCGTGACGTCCCCTTTAGCTTGTGGACTGCCGTCTTTAAGCCGAGTGTTGTCATCTTGGAATTCGACCATCACACGGTGTTTGATTATTTGCATCTATAAACGAAGGTCACCATAGTTGGAATGCAGAAGTTTGACAAAGACACGGCGGATGCTGATCTGTCAATCACAGTGAAGCCGCCTGCAGCATCCTGGGTTTATTTCACTATGAATGGGCATTAAAACACAGATAGTTTTGCGGTATTAACATTAATTGTAATATTTTGTGGTGATTCATCCAATAGCTGTCCAGACATTTCACTTATGGTAGAAACATGAAAACCAGTCAGGGGATCCGGGTTCAGTCTGTTTCCTCTCAAAAGGTCATTTAATAAAACAGGTTTTGAATAAGAGAACGTCGTGCCTGGATCTGCGTCCAGGTCCGGGTGGTGCTGATGAAGACAGAAGGTATTTGCAGCATCGCCTTCAAGGACAAACACACGCAGGAAGTGACGCTGCCGGCCGGCTCTTCCATCGCGGTGCCGTACACCATCGTGCCGCTGGAGGTGGGGAAGCTTCCTCTGGAGGTGGCGGTGGTGGCCAGAGACATGAGGGGGTCGGACCGGATGCGGAAGCTCCTCCGGGTGGTGGTGAGTCCCTCCTGGTGACGGAGGGGTCTTTGTCCTTCTAACATAATGAAAGAGTGTCCTTCCTTGAACACAGCAGAGTACAGATGTAAAGGAGGGAACTTTCTCTGAACAGCTGGATGGAGTGCAGAAGACTGAAGTTTGGACCACCGTGTTGAACCCGTCTGCTGAGGGAGGTAAGAAGATCGCAGCCATACGTCACTTCCTGTACATGTACCACATGTCTTCAAGTTCAGGGTGGAAAGTCCTGATGTTTGACTTTGTGTCTCCTCCGTCTTCTACAGGGACGCAAACTGTTCGTGTGGGGAAGATGGACCTGGAGTCCGTTGTGCCGAACTCTGTGCCGGAGACAATAATCAGTGTCAGAGGTCAGTCGCTGGTGCTGAGGCTTGACGGATGAACCCTGGAGAGCGCTCTGATCCCCGATTCCTCCGTCAGGCAGCGTGTTGGCAGACAGCATCGATAACTCCATCAGCGAGGACTCCCTGGCCTCTCTGATCCGGATGCCCGGCGGCTGTGTGGAGCAGAACTTGGCGAGCATCACGCTGCCGCTCATCGCCTCCCTCTACCTGGAGCGGACCAACAACTGGGAGAGTGTGGGGGTGGATCGCAAGGCCGAGGCTCTCCGCTACATCAGGAAAGGTGTAACTGAGGGAAATAAAGTAACATGAAGGGCTACATGGGCGGAAGGATGGCGGTAGAACAGTGGATGGATGCCTAAATCAATTGGTGGATTGGTTGCTGGATACAGCGATGGATGAATCGCTGGACTGATGGATGAATGAATAAAGAGATTGATTGACACAGTTGAGAGGTTGGATGGATGGATGGGTAATCTCATACATAGATGAGTGGATGGATGGATACTTAAATACACAGGTGAGAGGTTGGATGGATGGACGGATGGGTAATCTCATACATAGATGAGTGGATGGATGGATACTTTAATACACAGGTGAGAGGTTGGATGGCTGGACAGATGGATAATCTCATACTTAGATGAGTGGATGGATACTTTAATACACAGGTGAGAGGTTGGATGGATGGATGGACAGATGGATAATCTCATGCATAGATGAGTGGATGGATGGATACTTCAATACACAGGTGAG